CTGGTCCAAAAAGAGAGTGATGTCTGCTGCACAAGGGGAAACCTGGTCCAAAAAGAGAGTGATGTCTGCTGCACAAGGGGAAACCTGGTCCAAAACAAAAGCACATGTCTGCTGCACAAGGGGAAACCTGGTCCAAAACAAAAGTTCAGGGCTGCTGCTCGACAAGGGGAAACCTGGTCCAAAACAAAAGTTCAGGGCTGCTGCTCGACAAGGGGAAACCTGGTCCAAAAAGAGAGTGATGTCTGCTGCACAAGGCGAAACCTGGTCCAAAAAGAAAGGTCGTGTCTGCTCAACAAGGACAAACCTGGTCCAAAAAAGGAAGTTCCTGATGATTTCATAATGTTGGCCATGATGTTGGCCTACTGGATTGGAGTGGGAGCGTGTCTCTCGTGTGCTTTGTTCCAATCAACGAGAAAGTTCCGTCTGCTGCACAAGGTGAAACCTGGTCCAAAAACAAAGTTCTGTCTGCTGCACAAGGGCAAACCTGGTCCAGAAAAGGAAATTCCTACCGGCTGTACAAGGGCAAACTTAAAATTGGGACATCCGTTGGGACATCCGTTAAAACTTAAAATTGGAACGATACAGAGAAAGAGAAGATTAGCAACCAGGCATGTCCTGGTCAATTCCTTATTTTGCTGATCCTGAACCTGGTCCATGATTCCTGGAACCTGGTCCATTGTTGTGGCTGTTTTTGTTGGTGCCTGTTCCTAGGTCTTCGAGGGAGATGAGGAGGTGCTGCGGATGATGGATGAAGCAGAGGGAATGCGGGCCACCGCCGGAGAGGCGTTGTATGCCGTCGCCCGCAAAGATGACCCAAGACACTCATTTAACATCAGGGTCGCTGCTCGATCCATGTCGAAAATCAACTTCGACATCGATATGGAGGAAACACTCGTCGACGACGACGATGATGACGAGAGAGATGTTCCCGATCGGCTCTTCCTCAAAGCCACGGCTCTACAGGCATGTTTGCATCCCCATCCCGAAGACAATTAACCCCAACTCACCCCCCCCCAAAAAAAAAAAAAAAAAAAAAAAAAAAAAAAAAAAAAAAAAAGAATGATCCCATCCTCTGAACGAATCCTTACATACCATCATGCGCACTTGCAAGCCTCTCATTTTCTCATATGACCCCTTCTCTTCGTTACACTCTTACAGTCTTACCCCTTCTGTTCCTGCCCTCACGGCCCCTCAGGCACTACTGAGAGCTGCTTTGTTCAATTATCAGACCAGGTGCATGCAGTCATATTCTTTTTTTCTTTTTTTTTCAGGTGCATGCAGTCATAGGGAGCTGCTTTGTTCAATTATCAGACCAGGTGCATGCAGTCATATTCTGTTTTTTTTTTTTTTCAGGTGCCTGCAGTCATATTCATCACTGATTTCGGTCAAACTTCACAAAGTTCAGCGACCACAACACACCCTGATAAGCTATCTTTCCGGTCCGACACAGTCAAAATGAGGGTGCATCGTGTTGAGGGGAACTTGCTCCGAGGAGTTCGAGCACGACCCACCCCGATCATGCATGCATATAAGCTATCTTTCTGGGCAGATACAGTCAAAATGAGGGTGCATTATGTTCATGGGTAGACCGGAATAGTGGATGGAGCACCAGTTAGTGCGTCGCACACTCAAGGCCAGGACACGAAGTGGGCGCTCGAACTCCGAAACTGCTTGCTGGGAGGCAGTGCACCCGCGTCCGATCTATCGCCAGAGTGGAGCCAAAGGCGCAATGGGAGGCCTAGGCCTCTCTTATTTGACATTTAAGGCTGAAGGATGATTCATATATGAATTAAGTTCTTTTTTTTTTTTTTTTTTTTTT